TAGTATCAGTGATTGATACATTAATGGTGTAAAGCTCACCTGCCTTATTAATTGCCAGAACAAAAGAGATAATAGATTGCTGATCTCTCCGGAAAGATAAATCATAAGGAAGTTCAGTGGACTAAGGAAAAAGAACTATCGCAGAACTTGAAACACCAAAAACATTATATGCAAATTCAAGGAAATTGAAAACCAAGTTGGAAGAGATTGAAACTGAAAGATCTACAGTGGAAGAAGAACTACAAAGCAACACAGACATTCTAATATCTGAATTCAAGGAAACAAGTGAACTTCTTTGTCGAAAAATTAGCAGTTGAGGAACAAAGCGAAAATGTAATTTTAGTCTCATTTGCAAATGAAAAATTGAAAACATGGATGGAACCACATGGAAAGACATTTCGGACAAATCTCTCTTCTGAAAAATCACTGGACACTAGTAATGCAGAATGGCTTCTTAGAAAAAACATGGGAAAGTCTTAAGGGCAACGTAAGGATCACTGGTCACGAAAATTTATTTCGTTGCCAGTACTTACTGAAGATGCCATCTGATTGGATATCTGAACACGATTACTAAAATTGTATCTCTTTTATAAACACAATAGAGGGCTGTTCATTTCAGTTTTTGTTTCTGACGTAAGAACAAACCGCCATGAAATCTCAGCAAACTTCATTCCCCTAATGCCCTGATGAGTTAATTGCGACCACCATCAAGTGTCAGTGTAAATAACAAAAGCGTCAGACAGGGGATTAATGAGGAAAACTAGAATCTAAAGACCTTGATTAAGTAACACATTTATACGTTCATCAGATCTGAACCTAATGGATGAACCAGGAAGCAAATCCTTAACGTAACGGAAAGGAAATGAAATTGTCATTTAACCGGTTAATTCAAATTTTTATTATTTTTATTTTATGCTGGTGTATTAATATAAAGTAATAATTTTATTGCAGCAGTAATAGAGAAATTCTGATATAGAATAAACTGAAATGGAAGATAAGCGAATGGCTCAGTTTTTAATCGTTCTATTTATAAAAATAAGTCTATATCATAATTTGAGGATTGTTTGTTCAATTTTAAAATAGTATCACATTTTTCTTGAAATAATTCCTTGAGATGTTTGACATAAGTGGACAAAAATTAGATAATCAAATTGGGGAAAATTATACAACTATTTAAAAAGAAAAAATTGGTTTACAAGTATGTCAGCAAATTGCGGAGATTCGTAAAAATACAGAGTGATTCACAAATGGTGACCAAAAATGAAACCTCGTATTCTTTGGTGAATTTTAAGGTTAGTATTTGGTATAAAGTTTTTTAAAAAGTTAAACTTCAAAAAATATTTTTAATTTTTTTAAATAATTTAAAAACTAGCAAGTGCAATAATTTGAAATTGGGCACATGTATTTATATAAACATTGTCCAAAATCTGAGAGCTTTTCCAAAAATTTACATGCTCCAGTGGCGGAGATACAGGGTATCGGTGACATATTTTTCCGAATAAAATAATACGCCACTGTTTTACGGTAACAACAATGATATTTTCGGATTCGTCTTTCAATTTTCTACAAATTACTACTCTCTTATGTTTTTCGAAAAAAAAACTAATTTTCGAGTAAAACTTTAAAAATCAAGTGAAAACACTTTTATTTAATTGACATGACAAGCACTAATCGTTCGATTAGTTATTCGAATAAAGAAATTAATAACATTAGTCATCATTTTAATGATTTTGTTTGAGTAAATGCTCAAAACTACATTCATTTCCACAAATACAGGTCCGACATCTTTTTAGTAACGAAAATGTAATTTGTTCATATTGTTGCTTGAATCTGATGAAAAGCATTATTTATTCTTTCTTCTAACTGCTCAGAATGTCAAAGTTGCTATCGCAGCCTACTATGTAATTTTAAAAAGCATTATATTCGAATGTCGAAGTGTGTTCTCAGTTTTTTAAGTTTTACTCGAAAATCAGAATTTTTTCGAAAAACATGAGAGAGTAGTAATATGTAGAAAATTGAAAGGCGAATCCGAAAATATCATGGTTGTTACGGTAAAGCAGTGGCGTACTATTTTATTTAGAGAATTATGCCACCGATACCACTGGAGCATGTGAATTTTAGTAAAAGCCCTTAGATTTTAAATTTAAATTATTTAAAAAAATTAAAAATATTTTTTGAAATGTATCTTTTTAAGGAAGCGTCCTAGATAAAAACTTTATAGGAAAGACTCCCCTTAAAATTCACTAAAGAATACCATATTTCATTTTTGGTCCCCATTTGTGAATCACCCTGTATATCTAATATCATAGATGTAGAAATTTTAAATTGTTTCGACAGCAGAGATTATAAAAAATTGAAATAGACGCATTGCCAATTCTGAGCGGCTTTACTACTTTTCGATTCTGTTTATCTAAAAATAAATAATTTGCGCATACAAGGGGATGGGAAATGATCACCCTGAATAGGTATGTTTAACCCCAGAAGCAGTAATATGCGAAGAATGTAAAGCATGTACTTATAATGTTAAACATCCGAATTTAGAATCTTCCTGCTGCCAATATTTGTAATCAGCTTTTCCCTTTATTACCGCCAGCCCATTAAATGTCAACTTAAACATACTTGTTACCCGCTTTTCAAACCCCAATTAGATTACGAGCGGCTTGGTAGCTTTTAGGGTTATTAATCAGATTTTCTTTCCCACTTTCTCAGCACGGCATATTCAACGAATTGCGATAAGTAAATTACACTGAGAATATCAACAAATTTAATTGATAAACTAAACTTTGCTCGTTCTTAACACGAAAATTTCATTTGGGCTGAGTTTAACAGTTTAAGCCATTTAAGCAATTAGGAAAGCTGATTAATTTTTACTTACAAGAACTAGAATGAACGCAGCCTGACGGTAATAAATCACGTGGAATTTGATTAATGTCAGACACTGTTTCGCAATTTTAAGCCAATTATTTAATAAGTAGCCGAAACGTGTTATGAATTGGTACGTTGCAATTTCTCTTCTAAAAAGAAAAGAAAATGTAAAGGTTAATATTTCACTAAATTCTGTGTTAGTAGTAGTAAATGTTAGTCATTTACAGAGTGTAAATTTTAATAACAGAAGTTAATAAACGTGCGCAAGTGCTTTGTTTCCTATATATAGGGTGTTAATTAATAAAAGATTTACCTCAAAGAAGCATTGCGTGCGAAAATCTGATGTTGTGGAGCAAAGGACAATTACTTGGTATGCGATAGAACTAAAAAATACTAACATATTCTGAGAGAAATAAGGTTTTGCCCATGACTGTAGACAAACAATAGAAATCCAGATTCTGGATTCTGGAATAGCGCCTGGAGTTGATGTGTCATTGTAAAGAATCCTATGGGCTATTTCATTTTTATTACTTAAACTGTCAGTAACATAATTTTCTGCAACTGTGGCTGATTACCACCCACCATGTCTCTAGATTGCTAATACATCAACTTCTGTATTAGCCAGTAACGTTGCCGATGTTTTTCGGAATGAACGGTCTGTATATGTTTTAGGATGTTCTAGTTTCAAAAACTGTGCAATCATAGAAAGGGTATTCTTGTCGACTGGTTGGTTGTAACATCTACCTGCTTGATAGCGCATAAAAAGCGTGAAATTTCAGTTTTAATTTCCAATCTAATCTTGATATATTTCTTAAGAATTTATTAATTAATAAACCCAGACGAGAAGTAATTGTAAACGTACGTGACATATCATTTTTAGAATCTGGAATTGTAACTACAATAATGTTATCGAAATTTTTAAAATTTACGTTGTCCAAAGTAAGTTTACAACTCATCCGAACGGCAAGCTCCTGCAATGCCTAAGACCGTCACTACCTTCATTAGCAAATATGTGTTAACGGTTGTCTGAATGAGAAAATCGTTCACTTGTAAAAACGTTTGACTTTTAGGTGTATAGCCGTCATTCTTACTTTTCAAAAATGCTTTAAGCTTGAGGTATTTTGATATACCGACCTATCCACGTTCTCCTCTATGAAAATAGTTGACTTAATCAATGAGTATTCACTTCACAAACTCGCCGATGACTTTAAAGTTCTTGACTTCTCATGAAATATGCTAGCAGTGACATTTCAGAAACACCGGTATTTTTGTAGTACTTGTATCAGTACTTCGCAAGATTTCGAATAATGTCAAAATGAATTGATTAAGATATGTCGAAAAAGGAACCTAATCTTTATTTCATGAACCATAAAAAACTGTGGGAGCAGATAAAATGTTATACACCACGCAGCAGTTTAGTATAATTTAGCAGTCTCGGACTCTATTGCCAGTCCTCGCTCCGCTCGGGCGCAAGATCGGCCTCGACTGGTAAATAATACTTACCTCCTTTATGGTGTAAATAACTATTACAAAACAAAGGATTTCATTTCCAATTTCGAAGTTTCTATTGAAGAAGACTACTGTATGTTTCTCAAAACGTCAAGAAATTCAAACTAATGACGTGACAATACATCCAGAAATTGTCTAATGATCGAAATTATACATATGATATAAATAAGAATACATTTAGATATTACTCTTTCTAAAAAACGGCCCCTTATAAAATCAAAACAAAAATGCAATATTTTTTAAAGTTTAGTCGAGTTTTGTTAATTAGATAGACCAAAAATCACTTAAATTTTCTTGTTTTTCGAGCGTTCAACAAAAAAAAAACACAAATCGATTACATAGCTATTGCGTAGCAAAAAGTGAAATAGGATTAGACACTGTTTAAAGGACCCAAATGGGTAAAAATTGGTGTCACCGTTTCAGACCGTGTACTTTAAGCAGAAAAATAATAATCTTTGGAACAAATTTCAAAATATAGTGAATTTGTCGTTTCATCCTTAAGTTAGAAAGACTATATTATCATATTTTTTACGGAATCTAATTCTAATTATAATGTTTATTTTAAGTATATTTCAATGTGTACAGATAGTATACTGAAATTAATATATGTATTTCTTTTCAGGATCATGTCAGACAACAAACTGGACCATATTAATCCAAAGGCTTTTAATAAAACTCCCAACATAAAAAGACTGTAAGTATTATTAAATGATTACTGTTAATAAACAATTTGTCAGTTTCAAACGTTTCTTAAAAGAAGCTTTAAAGATAATTTCAGATTTTTTATGATTAATGTCAGACCAAAGATATGAAAATCAATCTACGTGAGTCTATTTGTTCGTCCACTATTATCAACATCAATCAAATATTTTCAAAATATCATTCCCATATGAGAATTTATAGGCCATTACCAAATTAAAAGTGTATTGATAAAATTTGTTAGAAATATCGCTGTATTAAAAATTGATTTGATGGGAAAAATATCTATTTGTTATAATTTAAAGCACAAAGGTTCGATTTCTGCCAAACGGTTAGGTGAATAAAGCGTACCTTTAGAGATTTTTTATTACCTTTCAAATGTTCACTAAGTTTCAATTAGTCACTAAGACAATGAAGTTATGACAACATTTTTCCCGATTGTAAATAAATTTTTATACGGGTATCTTTATAAAACGTGAAAATACATAACAGGGTGAAAAATCCAGATAAAAATATTTTTACATTCCCGCAGGGAATAAATATTGTAATTCATTCTCAGCTGTATTTGCGTCAGACCGTGATAGGCGATAAATCAGAGTTTAATAGAAACCAGCGAAACCAGAGTACGTACTTACTTTGTTTGGCTTATCACAGTAAATAACCTGACTACTGGATCACCTAAACTAAATGGCTATGAGCCAACAGGCACAGGAGCACCCTAACGACAATAACAGTAGAGGAGCGGCTACACAGTGCTCTACAGTAAATAATTCAATCTCTATATAATAATAATAATAATAAATTGCCTTTATTGAATCCTCATATGTCAATACATAAATTGAGCATCATATAAAGAAAAGTGAATATGAGGAATATATAACCTTTCTTATTGCAACAACTTGAAAAAAAAAAATGAAAGACGTGCAATATATTTTTCTTCTTATTGTTTTGTTTACCATATTTCTTAGGAATCCCTCCTCATTAAAGAGAGAGAATGGTAATCAATTCAGAAGAACTTCATTACATATAAAATTCTGTGGTCTTATTATGTCGTTGGCAGTGCCAACAGTCGCCAATAGTAGTAATTAATCACTTAAGTGTAAAGCATAACGAAATGCCAACACAAATATCTTGCGCTTGATGAATCCTATGTCTGTAGAAGTCATAAAATTGTATACATTTTCTTTAGAGTTGTTAGATATCGTTTTAGTATGAAACTTTCACGATGAACGTTTCCAATGCTACAGTTTTGAAATTAAGATATAATTTCAAATCTAGAAATTATAAATACCATTAAAATTAGAAGTTACGTTATTGGAAATTAAAATATTGGACTTAGATGCTGTATATCGCCCAAGGTGACAAATTTATATTTAAAAAGATTAATGAAAAGTTCAGCAAATTTTTTTTATTGCAGTGATATTTTTATGTCATATATTTGCTTAGACAGTTTGCACAATATTTTGGTTTATTTAGTGATTAGTAAAATCAGACACTTCTTTCGAAAATCAATATTACAAATTGAATGATATCTATAACTTGCGATTTCCTTTTGTATAGACAACGTTTCACAGCTACATCCGCTATTCTATTGAAGCTGATCCCTCCTTTATCATGTGCTCTACACGTAAATAGGCCAAAGTGCATTTCGACCTGCATTCAGGGTCTGCGCCGCTCTATATAGTTTCTCCAATATAGAGCACCAACATCTCCATGCAATACTGATAAGAAGGTGGAAATGACTTATAATATACAAATAAATCCTCCCCAGTACAAATTAATTTCTATCTAGGATATTTTGTATTAGATATAACAATAAACAACAAATCTTCAGAGACAGTTGAAAAGTTTTTTTGAATTTTGTTCATTATTTTTTTTTAATACAATTACATTATTAAAGAGATTATAAATGTTACATTACTGAAGTCGGAAGATACTGAAAAGACTAAATATTTTAGATCCTTAAGTAGTCATTGATGATAGTTGAAAAAAAAAAACGAAACACTACACAGAAAATCTAATTGCACCTCAAATAGATGAGAGAAATGGGCCCTACAAAATGTTTTCTATTTTCATTTGGTTGTCCAAATAAACCTGTAGAATGGTAAAATCAAAATCTTAAAATCTGATTTTTAAATAAAAATATCAAAACAGAGTATATTCTAGTCTTCTATTTTGAAAAATAATTATTCATCTTTGTGTCCAATTTAACTACCTCTCTATCTGTGACAGTTTGTGACGAAGCGTCTAATTTGAAACAGCAGTGATTAATGGTAAACTTACTGTAGTGAAATATTCACGTAATATTCTACGCTTCTTATCTCTTTTATTGTCATACTTATAATTAGAAAAAAAGATATACAGACAGACTTGTTTCGCTGTAACACATTAAGCTTGACTGAATAAATCTTGTATCTTGGGAAAGTGGTTTGTCCAAATATATAACAATATGTAGGCATTTGTTTGAAGTTTCAATAAACTTTCCTTAAAATTTAATCCCTAACATTTTTTATAATTAAAAATGTAAAAGAGATGAGGAGGATATAATATTACGTAAATTGTACATTCCAAGGCAAAGTAAATATTCGGTTCATATTGTTTTGGTACCTCGACCAAATATGTAGACCTTCCTAAAAATTGACACATTTCTATGGTGGTTCTTATGTATATTCCAATAAGAATTCAATTAATTCTAAGTAAAAAGTTTCTATTGTCATATTTGTCCTAAGCGTTTTATTTTCTGATTTAAGGATGTTTACCTTAAAAGAGAAAATTTTTGCCAATTTAAAAGTAGCTGAAAGATATCTTAAAAAGTTCTAGAAAGCTTGCTTCACTATCTTCAACATTTTTTCAGATTGGGTAATATTTTGACATATTTTTTTAATTTTAAATTAAATTAATTAGATTAAATGTTACAAACGTCCACCATTAACAATCTTCTTCTTCTTCGATAGTCAGGATATGTATTGCCATCTAATCTTAATAGAAGAAAGAACGGTCCAATAAAGTAATCTCCAATAACATCCATCCAAACATTTATGTGAATTGACATTGATAATTAACTTCTCTTGTCGCGTGAGTATTTTCATAAGCCCATTGATGGTTGTTGTGAAAATGTATTTATTACCTCTGGTAATTGAAGGAATAATTGGTAATTTTACTTAATTTCAGAGGTAATTATGACTAAATAAGTAAAATTTCTGAAGAGAGTATTTACCCGAAGTATTTTTAGTATTTGGACAATTTACCTTATTTATATTTTTTGCAAAACTTCCGAATATAAAATTCGGTATTGTGATGTAACATTTTAATTATTATGTATACACAAAACAACGGTGCTATTGTTTAAATCAACACAACGACTTGTAATTTTGTGTGTCCAAAAGTAGGTAACTGGAAATTTGTTTAAAACGCAGAAATATATATTTTTTTATACTTATCCATACACACCTTATTTTTACCTTCTATTTCAGCTCAACGAAAAAGGTGCATTAAAAACCGATTTTTCTTGACCTTAGATATCAATCAAATTTCGCTGAACCTTTGGCTAAAAATCCCTGATTTATGTTCCTCATTTATCAAGGGGATATCTCAAGAATCTCATATTCTAGACTTGTCCGCTCACTTTGTTTGACACAAATCAGACAATATTCAGGATTTACTAGATGTGTTGGGATGTGCACCGTGAAGGACAACGTGTTAAGGATACGAAGTTAGGATATTAACTGTAATATGGCTTTTGGCTTTAACAAGGCTTGTTTTAAGGGTAACATATTTTTTTCCCATTTTCTAATATCTGACTGGAATATTATTTAGCAAACATTTTTGCTTGTTTTGTATTAGTGTGACTAATAAATATTTCGATTATTAGTTCGTAATAAATTAGCAATTATACGGTTCTCAGTAAAAAATTGAACTATTGAGCACTTATTTATCGACTGCAAGATTATAGTAAAGCATGAGGGTTTTGGACCCTAAACATCGATTTAAGACGAAGCCCGTAACAGTTTATAAAAATTTCTATTGCATATAAAGAATTTAATGCATAATTGTGTATAATATTGTCTTGGTTACATGTAACATATTGTTTACAATGCAGTGAATGCATACTAATAAGGTTCTGCGGATGGTTAGGGTCGACGTTCATTCACGCGTCTTGATGAATGCCGTATCTATCATATTTACCGAATTTATTACGAAAAATTGGCATAGATATCAACCATTTGTGCCTAAATTAGCAGGAATTCACAGTCTAACGAAAACGAGCCACTCTGTACATATATCTACCCCTCAGAGGGCATTTGCGGTCTACCCGTACGTGTACTACAAGTCAAACAAGACGTGGGGCTCGTAAATATCATCTTCCGAAATACGTTGACAATAGAACCGCGAGGGAGTAACCAGTAAATCATACGGATGTGCGCCCTTTTGTTACAAGGTGCGAGTGGATCCGAAACGTGAGAACACCTCTCATAAATATTAATTCGGAAACCCGTAGCGCTTAGCTTTGGTATCTCCGCTCTGTGTATGTAAGAAATATGTGAGGTATGGTATGAGCGTGTAGGTATTCATATCATTTATGCGGACGTTGTAACGGATGTATATTGTGTCGTATTATATATATATATATATATA